TTGATATCGCTGGTTTGCGAGAATAGCGACGGAACTAAAAATTATTGATTTTAGACAATGGCATTATTTTAGTGCATACCGCAAAATGTAAATGATTTATTGAAGGTTTGAAGGATTGACTTTACTGATTAAAGGAAAATTTATCGTAGTATCAAAAAACATAAAAACATTTTAGAACTTTTATTAAAATTATTTAAAAAATCGTCATAAAAAAGGCGGTTTTCTGACATCAGTCTTTATTCATGAGACTCCAAATTATAAAAATCAACAACGTCATTTATTTAGCTTTAAAGCCTCTTAAAAAATACAAATTAAATCTTACAACAGTGTTTAAAACTTTTGTACTTATAAGTATAACAACTAAAAATAGTTTTATAACATACAATAGTAACTTTAAATATAGGTATTAAAATAAATGAAATCAAAATAAATGTGAATTCTTCAAAATCAGCAATGAAATAAAATATAAAACAGGAACATTAATTCTTCAAAGGAAATCTAAGTAAATTAGATCATTTAATTTACAACCCCTCATAAAATTGTCGATAATAGTTTGGAATTATATTTTTGTTAACTAAATCTATCCTCCTTCCGTCCTCTCTTCTTATTTTCTGAGATTCCGTTCCTTTTTTATAAGCTTTTTTTATAAGTTTTTGATGCACGGCTAGTAACTTTCACACATTTAAATTCATTTTCACCGTAAGATGTTTTATATAAAAAGAACCTTTTGTGGTCAGCATCTACTTTTAAAATCTTTATATCTGCCATTTTCACACTCTCATTATCAGTATTTTTATTAAAATTTTGTACCAACGTCTGAAGGGTCGACTTTAATTCGTAAAAACTTCTATGATCCATTTCTACGACTTTGTAAGGAGGTCCTTTCTTTTTTGCAGTGCGAATAATTGAAATGTACTGATCCGGTGTATAGATAGGGCCCGATTTCAAAGTCTTTTTGATATTTCTTTCAATGACAGAATGCACACTGTCACCTTCATTTTGTGTGTGCCCTTTTATCAAAAATTTATGCGTGATACTATTAATATGAACACAGTAGAAACAGCGTACATGTACATACTGATAATAAATTTATTCTTTTGCTGTTCGCAGCAGTTGTCAGAATAAAAAAATTATATCTAGTTTGGCTTCAGTTGTTAGATCTCTGCCAAGAGTATTCTAAAACACAGGTCCCTATTTCTATAGCTCCTCTATTTGCTTCTCCTTCATGCCACACGTAGCAGAATGCATTTTTATTTTTCATCTCATAGATCGTAAAGTTTAAGGTATTCACTTTTGAAACATAGTAAAAATTAGATACATCTACCCTAGGACATGGCATCACAGCTTGTAAGTCATAAACTGCTACAATAGTTGATTCTTTATCTTCTGCTTCTTTCTTGTCTTTAACCTTCTCCATTCTTGAAAGCTCTTTTTCTTTTAGATGGTTCTCATATTTAGACTTCAGTCGATTTTTATCTTCTCCATTTGCTTTATTGTAGGCAACACAATCCTCACACTGATCCTTCTTAGGTTGGTAAAATGCTATATTAAATTCTCCATTGAATATTCTATTAAACATGATATAGTTAGCACTTTTCTCTCTTTTTTCTTCACAGTGTTTCACATAATCTCTATAAATTTCTGCAATAGTCTTACTTTCATCAATGTATTCTTTCTGCGTATCTGCTCGACAGTAATGGCTTTCTATTTTTGGTATCACCTTAATGAAATTTCTCAAACTATCTTTAATATTATCATCTACGCGACGGTGATTGCCATGTTTCCCTCGAAGATCCTCCACTCTAATGCCTGAAACGTCACTTCTTGATTTTTCGGTAACTGTTCGAATAAATCTATCAGATACATCTAGCGTAGATATAAAAAAACTCTTACATACTCGAATTTTTACGCCATCTTTGTCTTTATAATAAAATGCGTTATTATTTCGACGTGTTCCTTTTTTATATTGATACGGCGGGACAATAGAGGACATATTGAATGCTACAAAAGTTCTTTTACTTTGCAAATCAGGTAATTTATAATATGCGTCAAAAATATGGCGTCGAGTCTCATCATCAAACTTTGTGTTACAATTTAACTTGCATTTTTCTGTACATCCTGGTCCTAATCATCTCTCTCGTATAACTTTATTATTTTTGCCTACATATTCTTTCCCTGCATTTCGTAGACGTTTTGCTACATTCGATTTTCAAAGTTCTGGCTGTTCAAAGCTCTGCATTTTCCTCTTACGTGTAATATTTTGGTTTAATTTACGTGAAATATTTTCTTCTTCATTCTCTTCTACTGTTTCATCCGAATCTGACGATAAATCATTATCTTCAATGTGATAATTAGGATCTGCGATACTATCATCCGATGAAAAATCTCTTTCTTCCTTTCCTTCTTCACTTTCAGCATTCATATTGGTCAATTCAATAGCTTTTGGTTCACTTTCTATTTGTGAATTACTTTCTACTGCAGTCTCATCTTTCATATTATCGTTTACTGACTCTATACTTACCTTATTTTCTTTGGTTTTATTTTCTAAGCTATGGCCATGGAGTCCTTTTTCTTTTAAATTTATGATTTTATTGGATTATTTATTACATTCTTCTGTTTCTCTATTGCTGGAGGAAGACGAGCTAGAAGACGAGGAAGATGAGCTAGAAGTTAAAGAAGATGAGCCAGAATATGATGATGACGATACGGATTCCCACCCAGGACAAAAATGTTTGTGTGATGAGCACGATCATTTGTTCTGTGTCTGGGTGTAATTTATCTATAATATTTATGTATTTAGAAATATATAAGTATGTTTATCAGATGTCTAGTACCCATAACACAAGCTCTGCTAAGCTTGGGACTAGATGGCGTTGTGTGATAGTTGTGGAATATTATTATATTATATTGTTTTATTCAAGGAATTTTGGAATAGAAATTTTCTATCCCAAAATTCCTTGAACACAGACGCATTTCGTAATAAGAAGCAAAACTATACCCACTTTTTTTCAAAAATAACGACATTTCTTATTTACGACTAAATAAAATCCGTTTATTTTTCGTGAATATAGACTCAAGTTACATAAAGTCAGTATAAAATACGATATCATAAGCAATCACCCATTTTTATTCAGGAATACAGGCGTAAATAGAAATGAGACATAAAAAGATACTTACTTTTATCAGAAACAACGACGGATCACTAAATGTGTTACTATTCTTGAAAAAAAATCAACAATTGTTGCAACCAAACTGTAAATACGTCGGTATTTTCGAGAATCGACCGTGCGTTCACTCTGTTGTCATTGGCTCAACTGAGATGAGCCTTTATTTGTGATTACGCTTCGAGTGTTTTGTCTCAAGTGAATAATGACGCTGTCTCTTTCTAACGAAAGCTAGCGCGAAATTGGCGTTGCATCTCTGTTCAAGATAAAATATCAAAGATTTATGATTGTTTGGCATACAGAATTCAATTTGACAGAATTTTGAATTACGTCGATATTCTCGCAAACCAACTATATATAATATAGTTTAATAGTAACCTAATAGTTGCAAAATAATTAGGACACGAGTACCCTTAACAGATGGGTGTCAATGAAAAATGTGGTAAGGGAGTGCGGCTTTCGTTTAAAAACCTCCGCGCTCGCCCCTTTTTAACCTTGCGCCCCTAAGTACGTGTCTAGTTTGCCCTAATCCACCACTGCATAGTTAGGAATTTTAATTTTTCTTTTTAATTCGAATTGTTACAAATTAGTTTTAAAATTAAATAAAATTAATAATTAAAATTACAATATTTACAATTAATATTAATTATACACAATATAAAAAAAGAAACTATAATGTAGAAAAACTAACACTAAAAATTTAAATAGTCAAAAAGTCCTGCTCCCCGTACTATAGTACCAAGAACGCTGGCTGCGTTTCCTCGCTGAATAGCTATACTTATCCTTTGAGCGAGAAAAGAACCAACCCCCTTATCACCAGCAGCGACGACCAGCCGTGGATATAGTTCCTTTAGGAACTTCAAATAATTAATTATTATTCGTACTTTACTTGACCTTTTACCCGAAAGCAACCGAATGGAAATAGTTTTACCCATAGATAAATCGAATACACCTAAGTTATTGTATACGGCAACCACAATTGGTTGCATTTACTTAGTTGTAGTCGGCTATACCCATGTGTAACACTACTAGCCTTTAGGCCGTGATATATATACTTTTTAAATATCATTGTGTGTACATAATTCATTTCCATAACTACGGTCACCGATTGCATGGTTTTAAACTGATGCAGATAGGAGGGTCTATAAATGGAGCGAGGAATTTCACGCCCGAATGGTGCCGTGAGGCTACCACATTACGTTCGCTTCGCCGCTTTTAACTCGTCCTTCTATGCTTCACACATCACTGACACACATAATATTATGCTATTACAACTACTATAATACTTAACACGAGGTTACAATGTGAAACTAGTATTAATAAAAACGTTACTTAAAAAGACAATGAAGGCATTCATTTAGAATATTTATTTGTACAATTTTTTTAGTTAAAATGATGTTATTAAGAATAATATAGTAACAAATAAATCTGAAGTCCGCCTAAAATGCAATCAACTTTATGGAAGGTTGAAGATGTGCCTTCTGTAGACTAAGATTTTGCTTGTGTGAGCTTGTGATTCGTCTTAACCTTTTCCTTACCTTACTACGTTTCGATTTCGCTACTACAATTAATAAATATTTTTGTTAACACTATACAAGGTATATAACTGCCATTAAAGTATACCAACAAAGTTACATGTAACCAACCTACATTCGAAACAGTAGACACGTTTTGATAACATAATATCTTGAGGAAAATGATAATGGCCGTTTTCGGTGATAAATTATTAGGTTTTCTTTATAGATTTATATTTATAATTATTACTATATCGTGTTAAAGGAGTGAATAGGACATTAATGACTTGCCGTATTGTTTAACACATAAATTGTATCTTACATGTCGGACGTGAGTGCAGACACCTGGGACACACCGCTGAGCATAAGGACGAAAGCCACGGTGCGTGCCACCACGCATGACCAACCCATATTAGGACATCTGTAAAACAAAACAAATAATATTTACCTAAGGTTTTAGTACTACATTTAAATTCCGGATAAGTTTTTTTTGTTAATGTTTGATTAAATAATCTGAGAGTGTTGTAACACAAACGATTCCTTGAATAAAACTATTTAAACGGATTCTATCGCGTTTAATTAACTTATTTTTTTTAAATTCACGTTTCTGGTGCTTTGCAGCACCCATGGTCACGGGGGAGACTGATATGTTTGACGTTCCAATGTCATAGTTAGCCCGGTTTCAGTTTTTGAATATAAATTTTTGGTCCGATCTACGCAGAACGAGCTTACAATATCTTGAAGTTTTGCAGTGGTATGCTTGTGTTTGAATTTAATTTTGTTAATTAAAGGATCCCTAGCAGATAGCAGTACGCATGGTTACAAATGAATTAGGTGCGATATAATCTTTAATACAAAAAAACGTATAAATCGTTTTGTTAAATGTATAGTGTTCGCCGTTCGCGTAAATTTAAGAAATCAGAAGATTCCTATTATTTACATTTTGTTGAGTCATGTTTAAACAAAAGAGGCATTAAGCTTTCATAAAGGAAGTATGTTGTTTGAATAACGCCTATTCTTCTGTACGAAAATATAACTTTTGTTGCCCATTTCATTCGGTTCGTTTTCAGATGGATTTTGTTTGTTAATTTCTTATGTTTTCAGATTTCTTAATCATTCCCACACTTCCCATTTAGTATCCATTTGCAATGCCACGATGGATCGACTACGATCCTCCTAAGTAAAATTATATGTTAAATTCTGTGAGATTCTAAATAAGAAATAAATAAGTAATAAATAGTAAGTAAATAAGAAGATGCCGCTATTTCAGTTTCACTTTGTAAGCGACAAAGTGAAACTGAAACTTAGGTCACCCACAGGACGATAATATGGGGTAGGGGCTTACTACCTAGAACTACACGGTGAGTTGAGTAGCAGCATCTCTCTGATAACAACTGAATATAAAAAATTGCGGTTGCCGGCCGAGCGTGGCTACTATGGCGAAATATAGAATAATAACTTTAATTAATAAATTCATAAGACAAAATAATATTCTAGTCAGGTGTCAAAACATTCAATATCCGCAGTAGCGGAGGGAGCTGTGAAAGACTTGTCGTTAAAAGAAACTTGGTAAATATAATGTTTAATGTAGCGCTCCTTAGAATTGGTTCTGATTCTGTGACATTAAGTACAGCTTAATTAAATCTCAAAATAATACGATAGAATACAAATATTTTTATACCGTCCTTTGTATATTTTCTTCCGAAGTTGAACGCATCTTTGAGCTTCTTGAAATGTCTACATATCGATTCACTCGGAAAATACAAAACCTTTCTTCAGGTTTACGTTGTATTATGTTTCTTTTTTTTTTAGAATTTAATTTAAGGTATTTAAAAGCTTAACGCTGAGCTCAAAATAATGTTAATTTTAACGCAAGTAATTACGTAAAAATACAAATTATAGACGTGCTTATTTCAGGTAGGTATTTAAAACCATTACTAATCATAGTTACAACATAGTTTACATTATATTAATAGAATATTGGAAAAGTAAAAAAATTGAACTTTTTTAGATATTCGTTTAACTTTTCCTTATTTACAAGGATGATAAATAAGTTTTCGGAATAGGACACCTATCAATGAGTTATAGAAATGCTTGTTTTTGAATCTTAAATTCGTAATAACGAAGGCCAAAAAAATTCAATTATAAACTATACCCTATCATTTTTCAAACCTCACGTTTGGTGAGAATTTGATTCGTGCACTTTGATCCAAAATGGAGAAACTGGAACTTCGTGCGGTTATTAAATATTTCTGCATGAAATATTTTTCTACAGAAAGTATTTTTAAAGAACTGCAGTCTACTTTGGCAGACAAAGTTCCGTCTTATTTCACATTGGCATTGTAAACTGTTGCACTTGATTTAAACGCGACAGAATAGACAACCGCCTGTAATATAGACACCACAGAAATCGTAATATCTTATTATTACGATTTCTATGCTAGATACTATCTCCGGGCGGCCAATAACGGTGCTACGCAAAAAACGTTAAAAAAGGGAAGAAATCGTAGATCGTGTGACCATCCGTTATTTAGCTGAGATTCTAAAGTTTTCGTTCGGACAAATCAGTTTATTTTAACTTATATCGTAACATTCAAAACTGTGGCCGCTTTCTGGCTTCCTCGAATGTTACAGACACACCAAAAAAACATCTCATCGAGTCCCAAGATCAAGCCTTTTTTCCAAGGGAATTAACCAACTTGCAAATCATCATTCAAGGCATATTAGCTTAAAAGTCGATTACGTTGAAAATAAATTCAACTTACTTAAACTTATTCTAGAGTTTCATTGAGTTTCCAAAAACTAATTGTTCAACCCAGTTTTTAGTACTTACTAAATGTATACGAACGGCACGGCGGTCCTTTATAATATCCTAATATGACATTTTCTACTACAATAATAACCAAAATAATATTAAGGAATATAATGATAGCTTGGGAAAACCCAAGAAAATATATTAAACAAAAGCGTATTGCATCAATTAGCATACTTTTGTGGTCTGGGATATCTTTATTCTCTTAAGAATATACATTCACTTACATGACAATAGCATAAAAAACTACAAACGTTTGGCAATAATTACATAAACTAAATAACAAAATATTTTTATCAAATATTTTGATGGTAGTAACTTAATTGTTTGTTCAATACTCGGGCTGGAATACAAGTTAAAATGTTTGTTACAAAGATCGAGCGGGTCTGTGAATTAGCATACTTTTGTTGATAGTGAAGTTAAAACTATAGTTTCAATAAGTAATAAAATGGTATCCTTGTTAAAAGGCAATGAAGAATATTCTGTACACGATCACATGACGTGACGCAAGGCCAACTTATAATATTTTTGCTATAGGACTCTTAACGTGGCCTAGTTTTTAAAACTATGTAATTTTATGACGTCAATTAAGCTCTCGACTAGGAGCTGCGTAACAACGCAATAGGAGCTCGCAAACCACAGCGTTTTATGAAAAATAAACTGCAAAATAATGGTTATTTTATAAATGCTTGGCAAAATATATTCTGGATAATTTTCTGATCATTCACTTGTTAATTTCACGTGTTTTGAAACAGTATTAGTTGTTTTAACTAAGTGTTGTGACCCCGTTAATTTAAGTACGAATGGGTATATTATTCGGCGATACTCTTCGTTGATATTGACCATTAGGCCCTGTTTTGTCAATTGTATATATACGTCATCACGAAAACTTGTTTCAGTAAATTTTAAGGGATTATTGAAGTAAAACGTTTAAACGTTGATTCTTTTCGGTCTTAACGTTCAGTAAAATCTAAAAAAAGTATTTCGTGAGTATATGTGCTATATACCTGTATACCTACTTAACTTATTTCTATTCTATTATTTCTATAGTCCAAATCTAACAATAATAACGATTTTATTCATAAATATTTTATTAATAATAATAAATTCATTAATAAATTAAAATAATAAGTAAATAATAACAGTAATAAATTAATAGTAAAAACATTTTTAAAAACAAGCTTTTATTAAATGCTCAAATCTTTTAGTTTATACATTACACAATTTATATTATATAAAAGCTTGTCGCGGGGTTAACCTATTTTATAAAAACATTAGCTGACCCGGCAAACGTTGTTTTGCCATATACATTATTTCTAGGAAATATTTTTTTAGTTCAATAAAAAATAGCTAACACTAATATTGTGCGGGGATGTAATTATAATTGAAAGTGGAATGAAGCGTTGTAGATAATTGAAGTTTTATTTAAGTTAGTAAATTATTCTTTATTAAAGTAACAAATATATATTAAATTACAAATCTTGATAGCTACATATACATCGAAAATAGTTATTCATATTTCTACTAATAATTATGACAGTAAAAAAATAAACAAAGATTAATCTCTCAGCGCAATGGAGTGTACTATATTTTTGTTCCGTCCGTCTTTAACCAATTCATTCAAACTGCATAGTTTTCTCACGCATCTCACGCATCACGCATGTCAAGTATACTGCCCTTCTTATGAAGAGTGCAATAACTTGGTTTTGGCTACTTTCGAGATTATCGCAATTAAAGATTTAATTCTTGTTTTGTGTGTATCTTCGTAACTATAATAGCTATTTACTTGAAACTTTTACTATACGACAGATAAAATGATGCAAAATTCTTTGTTGTATATTATATTTGTACATACATTTATATAGACATTAAAAACAGAATAATTTATTTATCTTTAGGACTATTAATGGCTTTGATAGAGCGTGACTAATCATGATCGCAATAAGTAGACTACTTATTGCGGTTATTGTTAGTAAACCGACAAACTGCTCTTTTGAGTAGCATAAACTGTATGTTCTGTTTTTTATTTCCTACCATAAGTGCAATAAATGTCTTAGTTATTGCAGTTTTATTAAGTAAAATATCATCAATCAATCAATCAGATACGTTTTAGCGGTGGTTGTTTGCAAGAATATTATAAGTTTATATGAAAAATGATTGCAACAAAATTACTACGTATGAAAATATTTAATTAAAATGCGTTTATTAAAATGTTACAAAATATCACTCTACCTCCGAAAAATAAAAATTAAACCCCTTTAGACCACTTTAAGTGTTTCTTTCACAAAAAATATGTAATCACAACTTAAGGAACTTTGCAATTGCATTTATCAATTGCAAGATTTTACTTTAAAGAAATCAAAAAAATCTTTTAGAAAATTTTTATCTTTTTCCTAGGATAAAAAAATGTTATACTTAATCTACTAAAGCAGATTGTGAGATTAATCTTTAAATCAATCATAATCTTATGTAAAAAGTCAATCCTACGTAACTTAAATCTCAACATAAAAAAAACATTGGAATCTGAGTTTAATATATGTTTGACATGTCTGAGTTTAATGTGTCATCGTAATATTTTAAGTTACTGGGTAAATAAAACTTATTGGGTG